AAACAAAACAAAACAAAAAAACCCACAAAACATAGAAAAAATGTGGCCTTGCTTGGCAACTAGGAATCTAGTGTTATGAGCAGCCTGGCAGGGTGAAGAAGTCCTGGCACCTGACCTCAGGAGATCTTGGGCAAATCACTTAGCCTCAGTTTCCCCATTTATAAGACAAAGGAGTTTCAAAGCTCGTCTCCTCCTACTCTCTTTCTACTCTCTCACACTCTGATGACTCTAAGATAAATTCTGAGGAACACACAAATTGTTACCTTCACTTTAAAAGTTGTAGTGGCAGGGGAAGAGCACAGTGTCAGATATATCAAAGCTGCCATGTTCCAGGCTGCAGAGCTTAATGCACTTCTAAAGATTAAACCAAGCAGGCTGACTCAAATGCTGTGGAAATGTCAGGCTTCAATGCAGGGCGTTGTTAGACATCTGCATTACTTCTGTTTTTTAAACAACATTACTCTGCCAAGAATGAATCTGTGTCATCATCTAATGGCTCTTGTCATTTTCGTGTGGTGATCAAGGAGGAAAAATGCAAGTACTTTATGTGGAAAACCAGATAAGATATGAAGGTATTTCATAACCCAGAGTGCAAGGCTGTCTGGAGTACAATACAGACCTATCAATAATTCAGTTAAAACAGTTTACCTGCTTTACATGAGTGGGTTCAGTTCACTGATCTTCATTCAAGTTCGCACTAAAGTTATTTAACTGCAGGCTGCACGTTACACCACACAGACCAAAGCATTATAGATTTTTTCCAAATGTAATATACAAGCCCAAATTGATTGCAGCCAAACGTAAATTTAGTCAAATCTTTAATACATTCTATTAGGGCATGAATAAGACTTTAAAGCTTTGTCTTAGCTACAGTATAGCTGGAACTTGAGTTGACTGCAAGTAGCCAGAATAGGTAGTTACCTTTGGACATGGGTATTTATTCTCAGCAGAGTATCATCTAAAATAATAAGCTTTTAAAAAATGTAAAAATGAACAATTATTTGTCATAAAATGACAAATTTTATGATGGGGCAAGTTTTCTTTCTCTGAGAGGTTAACCTCTATTACACTACTCACAGCCTATGCCTCACATTTGTCACTGGCTGTACCTGTATGCCTAATGCTCCGTTTCCATAGAGCAAAATTATCTTTCGAAACACAGGAAGGAAAGTATCAGCTATTTTTCCCACCTCCAGTTGAGGTGGGGGAAATGTATTCCAACAGCCCTGCCAGTTAGTTGGCACAATCTGCCTTATTCCAGAATGACTAGGCAAAGTTTAGAATGAGAAATGCAAAATACATCTTTGTGCTTTCAGGATTATTTAGGTTTTAAATGATTTGGAGTTTCATTATATGGAAGACTTTATATGAAAAGAATGTATAAACCTGTTCTCTGCTATAACCAAGAATGCATACTCAGAGTATAATCTGGATGAAGTGTTGGTTGCATTGTAGTGTCATAAATGCAGGCTGTGTGGGAGATCCTTTGGGCTTCCTTGGTTTGACATGACTCTCTTGGTAGTGGTTGAGAAAGGGACAGTTGGCGGAATGGGAATGGGAAGAACTAGGAATCTTGCTACTTTGGGGAAGGGATTATTTTAATTGTTGCTATCCAGTACTGAAGCCACTAGTCACAGGTGTCTGGTCCCAATTGAGATGTTCTGTAGAAGTAAAAGTCACACTGGGTTTCAATGACTTATTATGAAAAAAAAGAATGTGAAACATCTTACCAATAAATTTTATATTGATTCCATGTTGAAATTACATAAGAAATGATAATATTTGGTGTATATTGGATTAGATAACATTAAAATTGATTTTATACCTTTTTATTTCTTGAATGTGTTTACTAGAAATTTTTAAAAATCACATATATGGCTCATATTACATATTTCTAGTGGACAGCACTGCTCTAAATCCATTTACATGGGAGAAATATGGCTAATATTTCCTTTCTTGTGTTTCTGTATTTTTAAAACTGAAAATATGAGAAACAGATAATATTGTATCTTGAGGGAAAAAAATATATATCATGGATTTGGGAGTGTGGCAAGGATATGTCCCAGCTATAGCATTTGGGCAACTCACCTTCTCTGAGCCTCTACTTCCTCATTTGTTAAACGAGGACAATAACTGTTTTGATCTCACCAGGTCAAAACCCTCCAGCTAGTTGTCAGGAGTGAGAAATGCATGGGAAATTAGCAGAGTGCTTATGCATAAATTGGTGTAGGGAAAACTCAATACAAATTCCCCATTTTTCTAGGTTATATCTCTAGACCCTTTAGATGCACAATTTAAAAAAGTCTGGCTCCATTTCTAATTTAGGTCTTTGTCTCTCCTGTTCTTAAAGTTTATACCTAATATCCCAGAAAACCAAACTTCCCCATCTTTTCCTTATGGCTGTTCCACTTAGTTACTTTAGCTCATTTAGATCTCAGAGCAAGAATTTTATCCTGGCTAAAATGTCAAACCAAGTCATAACTCTTGTTCTGCCTCTGACCCTTGCCTCGTACCTGGATGCTTGGTCTTGCTTTTTCCCAAACTCTGCTTCCTTTTGAAGGGATGATCAGTCAAGGACAATTGGACACCAGCCAAGTGCATGTGGGAAGCTGACAGAAGAGGAAGGGCCGTGTAAACAAGAGATCAAGAGAATGAGGAGCAAAGACAGAGCAGAAGAAAAGCAATTTTATCACTTTCGTCCCCTTGCCACATAAACCCGCCTTCTCTTCTCATTGCCTTTGTCCGTTGGCTTTAAGAGCTGTGCTGTGTTCCACTCCCGGTAACTACAAGGCACCTCTCATCGACTTTCTAGATTCTCACTGCCTGAAGTACAACCTCCCACAGTGTTGCATGGCACACATCTAAGACCGTGCACTCGATTTCCATATTCTGGGAAATAAGTCCTCAGATGAAGATGGTTGTACTTGTTCTCTGAAATTCAGTGATAGATAAAAGAAAAAAAAAGTGAAACTTTGTGAAGACATGTAGCCTCCCCAGGTATGATATGCTTCCTAGCTCCTTCACAATTAATGAGATGAAACTTTCAGACAGAGCTGTGTGAGATGGAAACAAGGAACAGGGACTTGAGACGAATTTGGAATAGCACAGGTGGCTGAGAGCACCTGTACTCCTCAAAGCAGTGGGAAAAAGTCCCTGATTTCCTAGGCAAGTATTATTTTTTTAAATCAGAAAAATGTTTTTTAGTTGCCATCCAGCAGCTGTACCTAGGTGACTCAGAATATAGTCTTGACTTAAGGTGGTTTTTGCCTTTTTAGCAGATCAATATGTTACTTTGTCTATTTTATTTTTAGATTTCCTGAGTGTTCTCAGGATAGCAAACTCAACGGAGAGAAATAAGCAAACTGAAGACTGGGTGTCATGGCTCATGCCTGTAATTCCTGCACTTTGGGTGGCTGAGGCAGGAGAATCACTTGAGGCTGGGAGTTCGAGACCAGTCTGGACAACACAGTTAGACCCCCCCATCTCTACAATAAAAAATTATCCAATCGTGGTGGCACATGCCTTTAGTTCCAGCCACTTGGGAGGCTGAGGTGGAGGGATTGCTTGAGTACAGGAACTCAAGGCTGCAGTGAACTATTATCATGCTACTGCATCCGCTCTTCATCCTGGGGGACAGAGTGAGACTCTGTCTCTGAAAAAAGAAAGAAAGAACCAAATTGGCTTATGTTTCAAAGCTTGGACTGAGGTTTGGCAGGATAAACCCTTAGACATTAACAAAGGAGAAGAATTTCCAAGATCCTTCCTGACATATGGGATTTATGGAGGATTGGAACACACCTAGGGTTTCTTCACTGCTAGGCAAGCAATGCTCAGGCCAGAATGTGCAGGAAGCCTAACCCTGGATGTGTGAATGTAGCAGCATTTCCTGGAGCATTTATTAATGAAATATTTACCATCAATCATAGGCAGGAAACAATCATTGCCAACTATTGCTTCCCCTGTGGTTTCCTAGAAAATCAGATTTGAAAATGTGAATGAATTTTCTATATTATTATCATATGATGATTCAAAGTTAGGAGGAAGAGAAAGCATTTCTGAGGATGCAAATACTGTTTTAAGATATCAGCTCTCCACATGGAGACTTACATCCTGGTGCCTTGGCTTCTCGAGAAAGAGAGAGTAATGCTCTGTAGATCCCCTGATCTTCCTTTGTTCTTTTCTTTTTTTAACTGTAGATAAACTCTCATAATACTCATGATTTCAGTTGTTTGTGGTCTAGGTAGCATCTTTTTTTCTCTGTCAGAATTGCAGAAGTAGTGATGACTGCAAATAAATGTACAGGCAGTCAATGTCTGATCCACATGGAGGGCCCCTGAGTGGTCTCTTTTCTAGGGCCTGATCGTTTCTGGACTGCCAACAGTGCAGCGTCGCGCTGCAAAGGCGGGGAGCATGCTACTGGCTGAACTTGAAGGAAGTTTTATATTTGCCGTTGTTTTTGAATAAATTTTCTTCCCCCCACAAGAGTAGAAGGGATGATGCATCTAAAAGTGTTTGAAGAGAAACAGATGTGCTGTTGCAGATGTGAGCATCATGATTACAGATGCGCACACCTAGCACGTGTATATCCGGAAAACATTCTAGGTGACAGGCGAGTCCTGATTTTGCATTTGAAACTGAATGCAAAACCAGTACCATTAAATATGCTTCTTTGTTACCAAAGGGACATCATGTCCATTTGACTTAAAAACATCACTGGGTCTTCTTTGTGCAGACATTCTTTAACATACAAATGCTGTTTGATATAACACATCTATACTGTATGTACACATCTAACCGTTTAAAACAAAAAGACAAAACCAGATTCATGGACAACATAAAATGCCTTCTGGATACACAAACACCAATGAAAACATTAAAAAAAAAGTTATCAGGCATCAACAGGTATAAATACACTGTCGAAAGCATTTAATGGTCTTTAACACAGCCGACTCCCTCGGGTTTGAAACAGTGTTAAATTCTCTTTTTGCTAGTGGCAAAAGAAGCTGTCGAGCACAACAGTGAAAAACGCGTCCCATTTCCTGGCCAGTAAGCACAGAACTGAGGGGCTAAAGATTTTATGGTTTCTATTTCTTTATTTAGTTAGTTCTCATGCTGTTTTTTTTTTGTGTGTGTGTTGTCGTTGTTGTTGTCGTCTCCTCTCTCTCCCCGCGCTTGCCTGCTCAGGGCTGATTGTCGTGACCTTGGCCGTCTGCTGGATGCCAAACCAGCTTCGGAGGATCATGGCTGCGGCCAGACCCAAGCGCGACTGGACGAGGTCCTACTTCCGGGCGTACATGATCCTCCTCCCCTTCTCGGACACGTTCTTCTACCTGAGCTCGGTGATCAACCCGCTCCTGTACAACGTTTCGTCGCGGCAGTTCCGCAGGGTGTTCGCCCAGGTGCTGCGCTGCCGCCTGTCGCTGCAGCACGCCAACCACGAGAGGCGCCTGCGCGCCCGCGCGCTCTCCACGGCGGGCACCCCGCGCTCCATCCAGCGCCCCCTCCTCCGGCGGGCCTCCTGGCGCGGGGCCTCGGCCAGGCGGCCCACCCAGGCCTTCCTGAGCACTTTTCAGAGCGAGGCCAAGCCCGAGTCTCGGCCCCAGTCACCAGAGCCCAACTCCGGGACGAAGCCAGCCGGTGCTGCCGCAGAGAATGGTTTTCAGGAGCACGAAGTTTGAATGTCAAGTTAGGAAGCCTTCCGCGGGAGCCGGAGGTCCTCCCTGCAGGAGAGCAACATCATCACACGGTGGTCACAAAATCAGCGGGCCCCCTGTTGAGGACAGAGTGGACACTAGAGGCTTCGGAAAAGGCAGATGCCTCGACTTCTAAGGGCTGATTCTGCCAGCCTAGCCTTGACTCTTACATGGACTTGAGGGGGTGAACTTGAGCTCCACCCGCTTCCTTCAAGGACATACTGAAAATTCAGTCAGACTGAATTTATTCAGAGCTTACAAAAATGCTTTACACGGAGCTCTTTCGTTATTTGCAAAGGAACAAAAAGGGAACACAGACTCCCCCTCCCTACCCAGACTATAAGGACACCCAGAAGAAACTCGGGGGCGGGGAAGCGAGGGCCAGAAGAACAATGCAGGAGGGGGTGGCATCTCCTTCAGCTTCAGCAGTGGGCCAAGAAGTGGGCTAATTTGAGGAGCAGGACGGTGGTGGGAAGCCCCGGCCTGAGGGCAGAGGCGGAACTACCCCTTTTCTTGGGCCTCGGCCCGTTGCAAAGAGGGGTGTTGCAGCAGCTGATGCACACTGAGTTCAGTTTCCCTGGGGAGCAGAAGGACTGGTAGCCGGCAGAGGCGATGAGACAGGCCGCTGAGGACGCACACGACTTGCGGTACATGATCCCTGCAACACAGACCCAAAGGAGCTGGGTTAACACGCGCTGGCTAAACGGCGGCGGTTCCTCTGGGCCTGCATCTGAATGGACAGCTCTTTCCTACTCTTCCCACAGCCCAGAGATTTGATGGGGGGTGGGGGGTGAGGGTGGGGAGGGGATACGCTTCCGGTTGTTTCATTGAGACACAAAATACAGAGCTATTAATACGAAAGTCTGGTTTTTGGGGTGGTTTTTGTTTTTTGAGTCAGTGTCTCACTCTGTTGCCCAGGCTGGAGTTGCAGGGGCAGGTTCAGGGGTTACCATACTTGACCTCTGCTATGTCACCCAGGCTCATCCTTCCACCTCAGCCTCCCAAGTAGCTGGGACTACAGATGCTTGCCACCACACACCCCCAATTTTTTTTTTTTTTTTTACATTTTTGAAGAGACAAGGTCTTACTGTGTTGCCCAGGTTGGTCTTGAACTTTTGGTCCCAAGTACTCCCCGCTCCTTAGGCTCTCAAAGTGCTGGGCTTATAGGTTGGGAGCCACTATATCTGGTCTGAAAATCTGGTTTTGTTTTTATTTCTGTTTTTTGAGTTTACGCTGTGTACAAGACACAAGAGCTTTCTATTTACTTTTTGTTGTCGTTCAAACTATCTCATGGCAGCAAGGATCACAAGCAGGGCTTCTTGATCGTATCTCTGTTATTACTTTATAAGCGACCACAGAGAGATGGCGCTCAACTATGTGTTGATTAAACCCTGGAATTCTTTGAATATAAACCCCATCCCGAAGGGGAATAAATCTGATCCCTATTGAAGGGGCCCTGATTTTTTCATGGATTTAGTGAAGGGGTACCTAGCTGCCTGTGTGCCTGCAGCAGCCTTATTTTCAGGAAGGAAGCTCTGCCCTTAGGCAGTCATCACACACAGCTAACACTTAGTGTCACATTGTCTGGTGCAAAAAGGAGACTGGAAGGCGTTTCAAGGAGTATACATGTCCTGTCCAAATTGCTGTAAAGTCATCAAATTAGGGTGTCTTGGGTCATCATTTGACTTCTTAAAACTCAATTCAAATAATAATACTGGCTGAGCTTATATAAGTACTTTCTTGTCTGCCAGATACTATTCAGATGGCTGTATGTGCCTGCTCATTTATTACCTGTAGCAACCCTTCATGGGAGGTCCCCATGATCACCCCAGTTTTACAGATGGGGGACCTGAGGGTTAGAGAGGTTGTAACTTGCTCAGTGTCACACAAGCAGGAAGTGGAGCAGCTGGGATTTGAACCTAGCATTCTGGCTCTATGCTGTCAGGACTGTGCTACTACAGAGCAAAGCAGACAGTCAATTAACCACAAAAATGGTGGGTTTTCTTGGAGGAGGCCTTACACTGGAGATTGTTTTAGGTATGTGGGTATGGGTGGGGCTATTTTATATCAAGGAATTTTCTTTTTGGACAGATAGTGTTTAATACTACAGCTAGACTTTGAAGTAAGTGGTCTTAGCCTATCTGCTGCCCTGTACAGATGAGGGATCTAGCACATTCCACGAGCAGCTGGGCTCTCTCCCCTCTCATTCTCTGCAGATGTGTGGGCAGGTGTGGTTTTGGTTTGGGTTCCCTCCTCCTTGAGAAATGCCACTTTGGGTGTGTAGAAATAATAAAGAATGAAACTACCTAGAACTTCCAGGTGGGATGTGAAGAATACTTTAGATTTACCTTTAAATATGCAATCGTATAATGTTTTTTTTTTAAATAACTGCACATTTGTAAGGATTGTTTTTCTAACAGTGTTAAGAAAATCCCGAAAAGTAGCTGATCTGGTAAGGTAAGGTTCATGCACAGAGGATGCGTGTGTGTGTGTGTGTGTGTGTGTGTGTGTGTGTGTGTGTGTGTGTGAAGCACTGCTTGATTTGCATGCATGTGTGTGTGGGGGGGAGGCACTGCTTGGTTTCTAAGGGATGTTCTTAAGGCAGTTGCCCACTTACAGATTTCCTAGTGTTTACATTTTTATCCATTGCCCCATTTAGGAAATTAAGTTTTACTCACTACCTTTTTATTCTCAAATATTAAAAGCACCATCATTTGCCAGTTCAACTACAGTGATTTTTTTTCTAAGTGGATTTAAAAATTTTTAAAATATTTACTGAATATATTTTTCATGGTAAAAAAGTTCAGGAATCGAAAGTCAGTAAGGGTGAAAATGCACCTGGAAGAAACCCGCCAGTCCCAGGCCCTCACTAGTGTTCCCTCAGAGGCAGCCACTGTCATCAGTTTGGTGCGCCTCCTTCCAGGGCTCGTTCTGTATATTTACATATATATCCTCAGAGAAATACAGTATGCTTTTTTGCACACATTTGTTAATTGCATCACACCCTATATGCCATCATGCAATTTGAGTCTTTACTTAGTGACATGGCTAGGGGTTTATTTTTAAACCTAGCTTTGCAGGGTTAAGGACCAGTGATGAGGTAGGTTAGTCAGATAAGTAGTTGCATGAAGTAATGAGGGGATGAACCAGCAGAGCCACAATTGCTACAGCTTCTGAGACACTTACGTCTTTAGTCAGAACAATTTATCTTCATAAGGGAAGTTAAGAGTGCAAGCTCTTAAGTTGGTGATTCATACACTGATACCACCAAAAGGCTTTCTGAAGGGGAAGGTTGAGAGCATCATGAAAAAAAAAGGGGCATTTACTAGATGCAGAGAGAGAGAGAGAGAGAGAGAGAGAGAGGAAGGAAAGAGAAAGGGTCTGATGTCAGGCAGGTGTGTCCAGGCCAGGCACCTGGAGGAGGTCGGGATAATGAGAATGCTAGAATGAGCCAGGCGTGAGGGCCATGAGGTTTAGGGCTGCTGTGGGCCCCTGTGAGCCTCCCTTGGTGGAAGTCTAAGTCTGGAGAATAGCGCTAGAGATGCTTTAGGTGAGATCGAATATGATTAAAGAGTTTCTAACCAGATGAAAGGAAATGTGGACCCACAGGCATCAAAGTAAGTGACAGGCGGCTGGCTGGTATGGGGGTATGAAGGAGCTGACTTTGGAGATATCCCAGAAGAACAAAGAAAAAGTGTGCTAGTACTAAACTGTGGGTGGCAATATAGGAAGCGGGAAGGAGGTGCTATACTAATAGGAATGGGGAAATTCAAGATTAAAGAGAGCTTTAAAACAGAAAGGCATTTCGCTCATCCTTTTAATGGAAATTAACACAGTGGCGATAACATGGTGCCATCTTTGAGAGGCGTGGCATGGAGCTGAGTGGCGAGGCTGGGGCAGAAAGGTTGGTATTTGTAATCTGCAAAGAAGTGGAAACAAGGCACTTCTCCCAGGGCCTCTGGTAAAGAAAGAAGCATTCCAGGTTCACTCTAGGCTCTTCATCAGGAAGGCTTGGGATGAGGAGGAGGGGCAGGAACAAAAGGGAGTGGTCTTGGGGAATGCTGAGAAATGCCCTGGAAGGAGCACGTGATGGAATACCACAGGAGCTGCTTTAAGAAAATGTTTCTGGGTTTAGGCACGAGGAAGTCATGGTAGCCTGTACTGGTGCAACTAGTGAAGAAAGTCACAGGAAAGAATCTACAAGGGGTGGAAGGGTATAGATGTAAGACTCAGGCAGAAGGAACTAAGGAATGCGGCTAGGAGGGAGGGCCCGAGGGGGAATTGGAACTATTGACCAGTTCCATCACTCACATGCTTATCAGGATAAATTGCAAGCGAATCAAAGAGTTGGAAAAAAAAAAAACCATTAAGTACTAAAAGACACTTTGGAAACTTGAGCAATTTCTTTTATCATGTAACAAAGTAAAGGCTATTCTGGAACACAATACTTAGAAGCCATTACAGAAAAGATTGAAAAATTAGACTATACATGCACGCGTGCACACACACACACGCTGTCTAGTAAAATTCCTATAAAGTAAAAAGACAAGTGAAATATTGGGGAAAATAATTATAACTCAAATTACACAGAGCAAATTTCCTTAATATGTAAAAAGGTTCTAGAAATCAGTAAGGAATAAATAATAAATAATACATCCATAAGGCATAAATAAATAATAACCCATTAGAAAAATAGGGAAAACAAATGAACAGACAGTTCACAGAAATAGAAAGAGCTTTGAGACACATGAAAAGATACTCATCCTCCCTCATCATAAAGAAGAATGAAAGTTCAGATTAGGTTGAGATAATTTATCACTTGGGTAAAGATTAAAAAGTTTATTAGCACCATGTTCATGAGTCTTAGAAACAGTCCTGTTCCCACATTGCTGGTTAAGAGGGTAAACAGGTATAAATTCCATGAAGGCAACATGGCAGTAGCTATCAACATTACAAATGCACACACTCTGTGACCAAGCAATTCCACTTTCATGTATTTATCCTACAGACATATTCACACACATACAAAATGACTATACACAAGGTTATTCATGGTAGAGTGTTTGTAATAGCAAAAGAATAGACAATTACTCTATCTATCACTAGGGGGTGGGTAAGCACCCGTTGTCTTATCCACACAATGCAATTTCGTGAAGAATGAGGAGTAAGTTCCAAGATGTTTTGTGGGAAAACAAAGCAAAGTATAGCTGAACAGTTTCTCTCTCCCTCC